ACCATAAGATAGACAGCTTTGCACCAGTGTTTGATGGATCAGATCAGAAAGGCCAACGTGCTGCATCCTGCCTGTTTGCCTGTGCTCTGGGTAGAATGCCTGGCATGCCCAAGGTTATGGGTTTGATTCCAAAAATTCACAATGTGGGTTACCACTCTGGCAAATATTTATTATTTCTACAAAGTATACCAACTTAAAACAAAATTCTCTAACTTTAGGCCGCCACTGTTCTCCTTTATGCCTTGATGTAAATGTTCCAGTTAGACAGTGGACCATCAGTCACCACATTGTCAGTGACTTCTCCTTGACGATCAGTCCCACGAACTGTGATAGATTCCTGCTCTGTTCTCTGTTCTCCTCTTCAGACATTATTCACTTTGTTGTCACATTCTCCCCTAAAGAATGACCTTTTCCACTTTGTGCTGTTCGTCATCTGTTGTAATGCCATTGCGTACGGGGCCTTGTGTCGTGAACACAAACTGATGGTGTGTTTTTGACACTAAGACTTTTATTGTGACAAATTTAGCATCTGTGGAAAGAATGCATGAGAGCAGAGCAGAGATGGGCCAACATGTGAGCAGCCGGTTACAATAGCTGTATGACAAGATGTTAATACATCTGTAGCTACATATATTATACTCTGTTAACCATAATGTTGTAATTACAGCAGGATGATTGTGCTCGGTGTTGTTGGTTCATACCCTCAGTCACGTCAGGCACATTCTTGTCTCCACTGGCCGTCCATTTGTTTTGGCTCCCCACGCCCATGTTCTTATCAGTCAGTGACAAGTTCTCCACTGATTGCTTGCGTCAGAGCTGCCGTTGCACACTGTCCTTGCCCTGGTGTTTCCCAACAGTGATAACAGGGACACACAGGCACAGTTTTACTATCCTCACCGGGACAACTCATTGACGAAAACTGTGTTCTCTGACCTCGCCATGAATAACCAACCAAAACCCGAATACCCGACTGTAATCCCAACCTAAAATTATTACCTTTGATTTATGAACAACATAATAAGTCTTATTATTCTCAGTCTCTCTCTCTCTCTCTCACACACACACACACAAACCCTGCTGAAGTCTGTTCGTAGGCGTCTGTTTTACAACAGGATTTGATGACTCTGGTAAATGTTTTATGAAAGGTCTTTGTCACGTTGGTTGTGGACATTGCCATACAAGCTTGGGTAAAGGGAAGGATCTGTTCAGTGCCTGCTGAAGTGTGTGTGTGTGTGTGTACATGTGTGTACTACAGGGAGTGTTCCACATTAATGAATAATTACAGTATTGTCCTGTGTGTAAACACAGCTCTTTGTTGGACCTGAATGCAAACCTCTCTGGGTAACGTCAGTCCTAGTTTTAGAATTCTTGTTGACATTAACACACACACACATACGTCACACACATACACACTCACTCAAGGTGAACTGTTGGAACCGAGATTGATTTTTTTTGTGTGTGACTCTCTTCCAGAATAGGTCCTGGCAGAAGCTGAAGACCATGGTTCACTGGTCTCCCTTTGTTGTGTCCTTCAAAAAACGTTACCCATGGGTTCAACTGGCTGGCCATGCAGGTACTCGCCCATACACAGTCTGTACAGCATTAACAGGGCCTGCCAGAGGGTTAAACCAGTGGTTCTCAAACTATGGTACGTGGGGAAACGTTATATTTTCACATTTACATTTTCAGTTGAATAAATCTGAAACATACCATGCACAATTAATACAACCTTTAAACATAAACATTTATAAACATCTCTCCTGTGGTGGAAGCTAACAGGGAAGGTCAATGCTGCTATATTCTACTGTTGGTCATCATGGTGGTACAGAGTAGAAAAGGTTTGAGAACCACTGGGTTAAATGTTTTATTAACTAGTGTTTGTAAATATTTTTTTTTATTCACTTTGTCTCCTTTAAGGTAACTTCCAGGCCGGGGAGAACGGACGCTTGTTGAAGCGATACTGTGAGTGTGAGCAGCAGTGTCTACAGAAACTGATGAAGGACACTCTTCGTCCCTATGTGCCTGGTTACTACGGTGTTGTCCAGAGGGACGAGCAGGACTACAATGTGATGGACGACCTGCTGGCCGACTTTGAGTCGCCCTCCATCATGGACTGTAAGATGGGCAGCAGGTACGAGAGTCAGACACTTTATTAATAGTAACTGTTTGTTCAGCATGCATCACTACTGCATACTGAAATGACATGTAGAACATGAATAAATAGATAACCACAAATGTTCACATTTAAAGGACATATTTGGAGGAGGAGCTGGTCAAAGCCAGAGAGCGGCCACGTCTTCGGAAGGACATGTACGAGAAGATGGTAGCCGTGGACCCCGGCGCCCCCACAGAGCAGGAGAAGGCCCAGCAGGGCGTCCTCAAGCCCAGATACATGCAGTGGAGAGAGACGCTCAGCTCCACGGCCACTCTGGGCTTCCGCATCGAAGGCATTAAGGTCAGAGGTCATTCAGGACATTTACTACAGACAAGCTGCGTCTTCTTGTTTTATTTCTGCATATTCTTTGCACATAAGAGCGAGGTCCACCATGTTTTACTCTGAAAATCCAGGATCTTTCTATCCTCAAAAGAAACAGGGCCATAGTCCATCGATCTGAGAAATCACTGAGATTCAACCTTGAAATTGTGCATCATAATGTCATACAGAATGTTTCATCTTCCGTCTTTGGGCGCACAGAGAGAGTAAGACTCCTCCTCTGAGGTTACGTCCTATGCCCTCTCTTATAAATGTCCTACTTTGACAGACTTTAAAGCGTCTTAGCTTTTGGAAAAGACCTTTGGTCCCAGTCAGTGATATAACGTCACTGACATCCAGATGTTCAGGGTTTCTTCCGTGACTTTTGAAAACAGTCAGCACAGACACTGGATACACCACTCACTGTAATGTCAGAGTGGAGTCAGATGTTATGGTAATTGTGCAGCAGATCTGCAGGTTACTGGGACAAAAATGTCCAGACATATGCTGTGTTTCCAGTTGAGCGTGTATCAGCTGGTGGCTGCAGTACTATATGAGTAATTGACGACTCCAGTCAAAGCAGGAGCTCCAGGAAGCTGGAAATAAAGTGGAAAAGAAGTGTCATGAAGAGTATAAACAAACAGAGTATGAAGGAAACAAACAGCAGCCTGATTTATTTTCCCTTCTACTTCTTCAGAGAGCTGATGGAACATGCAACACCAACTTCAAGAAAACTAAGCAGAGGGAGCAGGTGATGGAGGCTCTGAAGGACTTTGTCGATGGAAACATTCAGATCCTGGTGAGTTTCAACATCACTGCTACTCGGCTGTTTGAAATTTAAAGGAATGATTTAAAGAATATAAATGACTGAAACTGATACTACAGTATGTAAAACAGTATTCTAGATTTAAAAAAAATGAAATGACTCAATGAGGTTTTACATAACTGTTTTGGTTAATACACGTGAAATTTGCCAGTGAGTTAAGCCTTAATTCATAGTAACCTGCATTCACACTGCAGGTCTTCATGATCAATTCAGAGTTAAATTGGCTGAGATCCTTATTTATTGATGTTATTTATAATCTACTGTTGCGAAGTGATTCGCATGTGTGGCAGAAGATGTGACAAAATGCACTGTTTACAGAAATAAAGATGGACACTGCACTTGCTAGTGTGTGTGGCAGTTTCAAAGTTGTTGTGCAAACCATGCTAATCAGTTTGATCACCTAACAGTTTTACATTTTCACATGTCAGATGTCAGATGGGCTGAGTTCTTGTGGTTGTTTTCCCCTCCTCTAAAACACACACTGCCTGCAATTACTGAAATGTTGGATGAGAGATAACATCAATGTTCAAACTGATGACACGTCAGATTTCTATTGATTTTAAATTTAGGACCACATGTGAAAAGTTGCGTGAGTCTGTTTTAAGAAAAAGCTGTTACAGGAGTCTGTAATATAACGGACAAAATAGTTGAGACTTTTTCTCACAAAATCAACTTCTCGTGCCCCTCGTCCCTTTCATTTCGTATGTTTTGTTTTTCAGAAACTCTATCTGCAGCGTTTAGAGGACCTTCGCTCAGTCCTTGAGCAGTCGCACTTTTTCAAGACACATGAGGTGAGAACCACAAACACACACGTTCACACTATTTTCATTACTTCTGGATAAACCAGTTGTCTGAATGGCAGATTCGTGATAGCATCTCATCCTTAGCTTCATTCTCATCTAGCGTCGCCTGTTTGTCTCGCTCAGGTTGTGGGCAGCTCTCTGCTCTTTGTGCATGACGCCTCTGGAAAGGCCAAAGTGTGGATGATCGACTTTGGGAAGACGGTTCCCCTGGTGGAACCTCAGACCCTGGACCACAGGAGTCCCTGGGTGGAGGGCAACAGGGAGGATGGCTACCTGTGGGGACTGGACAACATCATAGACATTTTCAACAGTATGCTCCCGCAGACACCTTAAAAAAAGACAGAGACTCCAGACAGAGTTTTTTTTGAGAGTTTGGTCCATTTCTTAAATGGTAGACAAAATGCAAGATCAGACGATTCAGAGGGCATGAAGAGAAAGGGAGCCTAAAGGAAGTGATTGTTATGGTTTGATCCAAGTGTCTTGAACCTCTCACACCTGTGTACAAAGAGGAAGAAAACAAGCACACATTTTTTTACATCCAAGTGGAACACATGCCAAATGTAAATGCTGTGCATTATGGTCCATTCCTAGAAGTTGGACATGGATAAGTTGGGGACTGTTAGTTGGTAAGGTGGCATAAGAGACACGGAGGGACAATAATAACAGTCCCTGGACTGTAAAAATAGGATTTCCTGCTTTCACAGACCACTTTTTCTGCAGTTCCATGGGTAATCACTCATCACTCAGCTTCCTCCTCGCCAGCTCCCTCTACTGGCTAGAGTTGCACAGAACACTCAGGTGGCCTTGAATTCATTGTGGACGTTTTGAAGCTGTTTTAACAAAACTGGAGTTTGGTAACTAGAGATTTATTTGTGTCAAGGACCACGTTTGATGTTTGACTACACAACAACACTAAAACACTGGTCAGACCACGTGTTAACTAACTCGATCTGTATATACTATTTTATTTAATTAACCTTTTTTGGTCTTGGTATATTCTCATTGTTTATACAATTTCTGTGCCTAGCAATTTTTTTTAGAATGAGAATGAGCTGTTGGATCATTCCAGTCATGTGGACTCCTGATTTATTTTTTCAGCCCAAGTATAAACATATACACATCTAATCCCAGTGCTTTATACTCATATTTGGAATTTTTTTATGCAGGGAATTCAGTTATTTTCCGACGATCAGCTTGGCGTCCAGGTTTGTCAGGTAGTCGTTGCACTATCAATTCTCACAAAGCCATTGAAGAAAAAAAAAATGAAGCAGTGCCTCAGTGTGTCTTAAATTGGGAAGCAGCAGCAGCAGCAACACTGGAATCCTGGGTTTACAGATAAAAACATAGCTGTCAAAGATTTCTTGAATCTCATGGCTCTCTGATCGCAGTAGCCTTACATTTGTTGTGAGCTTTTCAAGTCAAACAGCTGTAGTGTTGAAGCGAAAATGAAGCTGGAATTTCCTGATCTGTTTTTAGTCCATTTGCAGGATGTCACAAATAGTGTGAAGTGATGAAAAGATGACATCAGCCATATCAGATTATAGTAACTAAAACTTAACCTCATATTGCTCACATAACATTTGGGTTTTGCTTTCTTGTCTGTAAAAATCAAGAGTTTACAATATTAGCTCACTTTTTACATGCGGGGCTTTTGACAACGATTCCTGGACTGAAAGGTCACAGGTCAGTCAACATGATGGTCTTCCAGATAGTTGTCATTCAGCACTGTGTGTGTAGAGAGTGACAGATGACTTGATTACACAAAATTGGAATTAAAGTTCAGCCCCTGTACTCATCTTAAAAACACAAACTGGAAGAAAGAAAGAAAAAGAAAAAAAAACTATGTTTACAAAGTACGGTATTTATTTTCCAACGAATCCTCTATGTTTGTAAAATACCAAATCTTTCAGGTTTTCCTACTGGGTGCTGTTTAAGCAGAGACTGGATTTTTATTGTAGCCAAACATGTAAAACACATTTGTGAGAAGTGTTGATAAATCCCTGCTTTGTTGAGAAGGTCATGGGTGGCAATAAACTGGAAATTAAGATTTTTTTCAAGCGTTTGTTT